CTACAAGGCACAAGTCAGGAGTGTGATGGAATACTCCCCATTTGCCTGGATGGGTGCAGCCCCAACAACACTCAAGAAGCTTGACACCATCCAGGACGAAGCAGCTCCCGCTTGATTGGCACCACATCCACAAACATCCACTCCCTCCACCACCGACGCTCAGTAGCAGCAGTGTGTACCATCTACAAGATGCACTAGAGAAATTCACGAAAGATCCTCCTACAACACCTTCCAAACACACGACCACTTCCATCTAGAAGGACAAGGGCAGCAGATACATGCGAACACTACCCCCTGCAAATTGCCCTCCAAGCCACTCACCATCCTGACTTGGAAATATATTGCCGTTCCTTCACCATCACTGAGTGACCCGAGACCCTAGTGGGTGCAATGGTTCAAGAAAGCACCACCTTCTCATGGGGCAATTAGCGACGGGCAATGACTGCTGGCTGAAGCCAACAATGTTCACACCCTGTGAACGAATAAAGTGCAAGCAAGCAGGGCAGAAGATGAGCTGATGGCTCAAAAAGGCTCCAACCATATCTCTTGGTTGAACAGTTGGAGAGGGGGAAAAAGGGTAAGTGCAAAAGGGTAAGTTCTCTGAAGGAAGATGGAAGGAAGTGAGGGATTCCACAGGTACAAGATTGTGGGAAAGAATGCATTAAAGCACAGATGTTTCAATCTGCCACAACTCTAACACAGGGAGGAGAATGAGAACGTTTCTGTACGACATTCGTCACTGGCAGGGGGATGACAGCAAAGGCCAGAGGAGCACACTAAACTCCGAAACATCGTTATAGTAGAAATAAAAACAGAAAGTGCTGGAGAACAAAACAGCAGTTTTGAAGAACATCATACTCAAAATGTTAACTCTGTTTCTCTCACCACAGATGCTGCCAGACTTGCTGAGTTTCTCCAGCAATTTTGGGTTATTCTTTTAATTTCAGATTTTCAGCATCCAAAGGATTTGTGGTGTATAATACAAAGGCCAGGAAGGTCTACAATGATTGACTGTGGGTAAGGGAAGGTTCAGTCATGTGACAACAATTTAATGATGCAGGTATGAGAAAGAGCTCATTTACAATATGAAACTCGTCAGTCAGAATATGATATTCCACAGTGACAGATGAATGGGCACCAAATGAGTTAAAGTGAATAACAAACAGTGGAGAAGGCAGATTATTAAATTAATTTCTCAATCTGCACTCCTTGTGATATATTTATATGATAAGGCAAATGCTGCTGGAAAAATAGCAACATTTGATGTTATCAATGTGGATAATGCCCGACATATTCAAGGGGATTAAGGGCTACGCAGTAAGCGAATCTCCAGAACCAGCTACTCAATTTATGCTGCTCCACTGTTTGTCACAGGGACAGCATTTCCCCACTCCACCTCCCATTAATATGAAGAACTCACTGGATCCATTCCCCATTAAACTTGGAGTCAACTAGCTGGAACTCATCGGCATGGGCATTTATTCTGACTATGTGACTATTGTTTACGGCATTCCAGACAATTTAATCTGTCAAATGGTATGTAGTGTGTAGCAAATGATAAGTACACCTTGGAGATTTTAGAAACATCAATTTTTTTGGATTCTTTTCATAATTCCCATTTTTGTCCCTTTGTTTTCTCTCTTTTTTACCGCAATCTCTCCCTCATGTTATTTCACTGAATTGACTCTAATCCTCTGTAATGCCTTCTCCTGCCGTTCCTCTGTTGCTTTCTCAATCCTTAAATCCCATTTCATAACGAGATGGACTGCTGGTCCAGTCGTTCACTCGGGTCCCATATTCCTCTACCGCACTATTATCTGCCCAAACCTCCAGGAAATTAAACTGCAGAAGAATTCCTGGTTAAAGGATGCAGGAAAAAAATATTTAACTATTGGTCCATACTGAGAGAAGCCTGCCTCCTGCAAGATCTGGCCATTATCCACATGGTGGGTGCTTATTAATGATTAATTTCTGACTGACTTTTGACCACTTCCTGTTCCTGATGATTGGACAACTCTACAGGGAAACAAGGAGATATAAATAGAAAAACTATGCTGGGAAACTACAGCTTCAAGCTCTGCCTTATCATTTCTGTTTAATGACACAGCATTGGCCTGAGTATGACACAGTATGTCACAATGGCTCTCTCCATTGTGCTCAAGCTTCGATTAAACTTTCACTTATGTCTCTGCAGGGAATTAATGCAATGCCTCCACACAGATAAGTCAGGATCACTGAGTAAAACGTTTGCAGAGATTCACAGTTTATGAGGATGCATTTGAACAGAATGAAAGTACGAGATGATCAGTGCTCACTAAATGTCTCCACCTCTCTCTCACTCTTTCTCTGCGTTAAAACCTACCTAGCTTGTGAGTCAGTTGACACCTTCTGATGTGACTGGTGTCAATTTTTGTCTCATAACATTCCTTTGGGACGACTCCACTTGCTTCCACTGTGTTAAAGGCGCTATACAAATGCGAGTCATCGTTGTTGATTAGATTACTCAGGCAGAATCTATGTGGGGGTGGGGAAATGTTGCACAATGCAAAAGATGCTGGGCCAGTTAATATGCTGTTGTTCTTTCTCATATCCTCTTTTGGATTAATCGGTATGTGATTAAACACTTGCCCCATCTTAAATCTGCAATGATTCCTGACAGCAATCAGTGGTTTATGCCAAGGAGATGAAATCAGTGCAGGAAAGATCTGGTCATTGTTATTTTTTGGAGTTCAATGCCAATTAAGTTGAAGTCCTTTTGAATTCAGTGAGGAGTTTGTGAATAAGAAACATGGATATGTCAATGTAGCTAATGGCGTTAGAGTCCATTGCCACTTTGAAGAGAAGTGGGGTGAACATACAAACAAAAAGAGGCTGCAAATTACACCTTCCCAACATGTACATGTCTCCTTTTGTATTTTGTGTAACAATTTTGTTTGATAACATTCCTGTGAAAGGCCTTGGTATGTTTCACTGTGCTAAACGCTGACTTATGTTGGCAACCAGTTAAGCAAACAGCTGGATCTTTAAAATTCACCTTGTTTTCAAACCCCTCCAGGGCCTCTCCCTGTCACTGGAACCTCCTCCAGTCTTTTCCGCACGCCTTTCTTTCTGGCCTCTTGAACAGTCTCGAGTTTAATTACTCCAGCATTGGCAGCCATCCCAAACTCCAGTGTGCTCCTGATAAACTCCTTCCTTCTTTTCTGTTCCATAAAACCTACCTCTTTGAACAAGCTTCTAGTCATCTGCCCATTATCTTCTAATGTGGCTCAGAGTCAAATTTTGTTTTAAAATGCTCCTGTGAATTGCCTCAGGACCTTGTATATTACAAGCACGATA